AATTATTGGTCTAAAGATATTTACCAGTGAATTGCTTGGCGCCTCTGATTAAACTTGTCCGAACGGGTCACTTGAAAAAAACCGGTTGTAGTTAAATCATCAACTTGCCTTCCATCCCTACATAATAATAATACTGTAATAATAAAACAGGCATTGTGATTCCTTAATCACTTTTATCCATCGAAGTCTGCTGAGAAGACTATTCCATTTTTGTGCTGAGGAATGCTGGCATGAATGAAAACCCAATGCTCGCCAAACAAAGAAATCCTTGCAAGATTTTTATTCTTCTCTGTATGCGTAAACCGTAGTAAAGATCTGGGGAATTTATGTCAAATGATTGCTGACAGTCTAAGTAAACATGGTAATGTAGTGCGTACGACATTGGGGCTACTGATCCTCCAAAAAACGGAGATTTAATCTGGAGCATGATGGTAATATTTCAAAATATATTCTAGGGACAATTGGGAGACGAATAATGGATGTATTGCGGGGAATTATGTTTAGAAAATGAGTCGAAAATAAGCAATGGTGGATTCCAAGGAGAAGCTGCTAAAAATACAATCCAAAGTACTGCATAAATTTGTGAACTTGTGACATATGTCTTACACTAAATGTCAGCCCTGCTTCAAACATATTTTGAGCGATGCAGCATTTGCAATACATAAATTTTGATCAAAAGCCATCAGTTATACAGGCTAAAAATGTGGCAGGCCAGCTAAAAAATTGAAATTTCTTTGTTGTTTTACCCTTTAATCTAAAATAGAGGAAAGGTACAATATTTACTGGAGCACCACATGCACCTTTTTCCAAAAACAAAAACAGGGCTAAAGCATAAGGTGCTGATTGTAGTAGGTGGTACATTTTCTATAAAACATTTTCAACTTTAAACTTTTTCTCACTTTGAAATTTTTCAAAGATCTTTTTAATGATTCTTTGCTTTGCATAAAAAAACATCAACATTGAAGTCAACTTTCAAGTGGACTTTTGCATAGACTTTTACCGCATATACTTTTTAAAACACCCTTTGCATTTTGGGAACTGAGTGCTAAGGTGGGCATTTTATGCAAGGGATACAATTTGTTCCTAAATTTTAGTAAAAAAAAATCTAATGTGCGTCTTTTATCTGGTATTCTAGTATACAGTGAGATCCCCCAGATGCGGATATAATTAGTGCATCAAGAGTGTCCCTGAGTTGAATTGTCCCTAAGTAAAGTCTTGTTTTCCCATAGACTTACATTATATAATTTTTAATGGGTGTTCTATGGAAGAAATATTCTTCAGAATTCTATGAAAATAAATTTGTTTGCCCATATGAATTTGATTCAGTGAATATTATTTCAAACCAATAAGAACATTTGGAGCATTGAATAGTATACCACTGTACAGTTCATTGAAATGTTGGCATCTGTAAAAATAACATCCAAGTCACAAAAACAGAAAGAAGTCACTTGCTCTGTGCTACAGGTAATTTTTTAAATTAGCTGAATGGGTGGGAAAGTGATGGGAAAAGTACCAAAGAAATTTTCTTACATATATCTTAGGGTTGGAAATATCTGTTTCTTGCAATTAAGCCTATCAAAATTCAATTTTCTTAAAATTTATTGGCAATTTTATCATGACATGTCCTCATGTTGAGTCACTGCCCCTATGTCAGGACTTTTTTAGAATTTCTTTAGTGAAAAATAAATGTCCCTATGTTGAATTTTCCCCATGTCAAGGCGTCTGCATGTGGGGGTTCTCACTGTATACTGTACAGTAATGGTTCCAACAAGAAACAATTTCAATTTTCAGCTGGCCTGACAAAATTTCAACATGTGGTGATATGCGCAGAGATCTCTTGCTGTAACTGGAAAGCTTCATCATGCAGTAAATTAAAAAAAAAAAAACAATGTAAAATAAGATAAAAATCCCAGAACCTTAAAAGATCATGGGCTATGTCACATTTTTGTGTGTCATTGTTACAATCACACAAATTCTAGAAATATCAGAGGCCGCGTCCATCTGGGACAACCCTTTGTATACAAGCTCAGTGCAGTAATATGCAGGGAACACAAAGTCAGGTTGAAGACACCCATTACTCTGATGTATTCCCAAACCGAGGGTTGCCAGCCGTGTGGGTGCGCATCATCAGGTGGCAACACTGAGGGTCGGTCGCCCCTCCGCAACCTGCCGCACGCCCTCCTCGCGTTCGCCGTCACGGCCGCGGCAGTCGTCATGTGACGACCGCGCACACAGCGGCTCAGAACCCACGTCACGTGACCCGGCGTTCTCGTCGTTTCTCTCGTCGGTCGACAGTCGAGCAGAGTGGAGTGGAGTGGAGTGAAAGGGGACCACGTCTGTCTTGTGCAACGTACTGGAGTCCCCGGCTGTTTTTTTATTTATTTATTTTTGTTTTGTTAAGTTGTTGCTGGGTTTTTATGCATGCATAATGATGCTTTGGGGCGCCCCGAGGGCCGCCGAAACTATTTTCGGACCGGCATTTCGAGTGTCGCTGCGGCTTGACAGTGTCTCGTCCGTCATCCGGTGTCGGAATGACGAGAAACGACGAAAAACAGGGCTCTTCTCCCGTCGCTAACCTTTTAGAAATGCCATTCAGGAAAGAGTTTCAACCCATGGTAGTGTCGAGTCTAATTCCCCGCTGGACCGCGAAGTGAAACCCAGTCTCAGAAAGTGCTCAAGCGGTTTTTCAATTCGATTGGAAAAAGATTAGAAAATATGTCGGCAGAACATCAAGTACATTCCAAGAGACTATGAACTTCAGTTGGGAAATGAATACATATTGGAGTCTCTGTCCGTCACTCACGCTTGCTTATATAATATGCATATTCTTTCAGTTCAAGTCTCTTGGAATGCGACGGACTGTAAATTCGTGTTGGCTTGATGCAGTCCTCTTGAATGAATGAATGAACAGAAAACTTTATTTGCCGCTTTTCAGCGTTCACAAGGCACAACCAAAACTCCCGCAGCCAAACCCCCTCCCCACCCAACTCAACTCCCCCCAAGACATTCAATCATTTCATATTATGAAACAAAGAACAAACCAATGACAAAAACAGAAGAGAACACACTCCACAAAATAAAATAAAATAAAACTAGGCATCCTACACATATGCTGCATACATCCATCTATCCCCAATATTGAAGAAAAAGCAGCAGAAAAAGTTTATTTAAAGCACAAGGTCTTCAGCCTGTTTCTGTATGAGTTTTAGTTCATTGAACAATTTAGAGAGAATCTTTGAAGAGAAATCATATAAGGCCAAAAATGTATCTTGATCCTTCAAGATTTCAGAAAGTGTCTCCTCATTGAATTTCAGTAATTTTAAATCTTTCTTAAGCTGATTTCTATCCATTTGCAATGCTGGACATAAGAAAAGAAGGTGCTCTGGTGATGCACAAACTAATGTATTTATGCTGCAGGAGTTACACCACTTAGAAACCTTTGAGAATTGGATGAATTTTTTACTAAAGTGCCATGAATTTGTTAAAATAGCTACCGCATCATGTATTAAAGGGATGTTAGATGATGCAAATAGTAATGGTTTAGTATTGCCCCAAGCAAGAACAGCTAGTAATGTACTTGAGTCTACAACATCACAATTATCGTGACAAAATTGAGTGATTACAATCTTTTCTCTGCCTTTATTGATGTTACACTTTATTTTTTACTAAAGTGCCATGAATTTGTTAAAATAGCTACCGCATCATGTATTAAAGGGATGTTAGATGATGCAAATAGTAATGGTTTAGTATTGCCCCAAGCAAGAACAGCTAGTAATGTACTTGAATCTACAACATCACAATTATCATGACAAAATTGAGTGATTACAATCTTTTCTCTGCCTTTATTGATGTTACACTTAAGAAACTGGACAAAATCTTCTGCTGATATTATTGCACTCAATTCTGGGTACATTGCAGACAATTTAACATAGAATGTCTTGAATCCCTGTAATTTCAAGTTTACCATAGTGGGGAGTTTATTCTCAGATACTGTTAGTTTCCAGAATTCTTTAATTGCTTCTGTTGAAAGTTGATTATTGGCTATTGCCAACCTATGTAAGAACATCAGAACAAAATAATATAAAGAAAGAATAATTTTTGGGTTTTTCCTGCGACTCCCGTCCGTTCTTTGAAAAACTTTTTAAATGACACAAATCATAATTGCCTGAAGATAAATCCCTATGTAGTAAGTCTACTGCATTTGGATCCACCCTGTACATATACGCATATAATATACATATTATATTAGAACACCCTCATTTCAAATCCTTATAAATGAATGCTTTTCCTCGATTCTTTGAATAGTTTTGGGAAAAAATCTCCAGGTTGATGCGTTAAGTCGAACTTCATTTAGGGACCAGCTGCAAAACAAAGTCGACGTATATATGGAGGTTCCAGTTATCGATGTCCAACCGCATATTGTATAGGATAAGCGGAAAAATATAATACAGTATATACAGTATTTTGCAATTAATGTATAAATCTTCATCAGAAAACTGTGAATACACTTATATTCGTCCCACACCAACAAACATTTCAAAACTCATGACAAGTCTGCAGAAATGAAGATCAGCATCTCTAAAAAAAATATTGCTGCCGCAGTGAATCTGTGTATAATAGAGACGAATAAATGTCAACTTGATGCTCGAGTTCATGAATTTGAAACCTCATAGTCATATAATAAATCTACGTGTATCATCGCTTTTATTTTCGGAATTCGCTTCCTGAAAATTCCAAACTTGTCACCGTGACAGCAAAAAAAGTTCCACACCCGTCATTCAGAACGTAATCTTATGTCAAATCACAGCGTTTTTCCTCGACACGGGAAACAACTTCCCTGTCGGCAGCTCAGCTTCAATCAGGGCAATAAAGAGAAAAACTCGGCGCAAATTACTTCGACTTGCTGACGCCATAGGAATTTATGACACTAACCGTCGACGACGTAGTTTGTGTCGATAAGCGAATATTGAACTCCAATTGGAGCCAGTATAGTTCAGAGAGCGAGGAACATTTTTTCGAATGGTATAAATACCTCTGCTTTTCCACCATCACTTCCAGCGGGGAAATCGATTTTTCAAAACGCAGAGGAGATTGGTGTCAACTTTGAGTTCGCGCTATCCAAGCTTCAAAATTTTGAAAAATTTCAGCACAAAGAATAACAGCAGCATATTTTCAACAACAACGAAAAAAACAACAACATGAAGGTTCTTGGTTTCGTGATCCTTTTTGTCACCATTGCCTCAGCTAAACCGGCAGAAAGAAGCAGTGTTTCTGATCAGTGTCCATCTATCCATGACCCAAATAGCTTGGCAGTCCATCTGGCTGACCCTGAAGATTGCGAAAAATATTATGTTTGTGACTGGGGTCAGGCCATCAGCATGCCATGCCCAAGTGGACTTCACTTCAATCCCACTCTTCATGTGAATATACAAACAAAAAATCAGCATTTATTGTGCAGTTGTCTACAAGAATATCCCTTTTGCAGCAAAGTTGGGATCTTTTTGCAAACTTGTGTGCCCATGAGCACTCCAAACGAATAAAGGCAGATTTTTGAGCCAAGTCCCAAGTTTGAATAGAGTCCAATTTATTTTTATAATCCTTCAGAAAAAGTTGCCTGAAAAAAATGCATCACTGCATGGTGTCTTTCCATGCATTCTTAGCATATTATTAACATTTGAGATTTCTTGAGAAAGTTGGATTTTCTCCCCAGATTTTTCCCAACTTAAGCCTTATTCCCCACCTGGGAGCATTCCAGTGGCCTTTGGTCAAACTGAAATGCCCCTACCCCAAAAAAAAAATCCTGACTTTGTGGCATCCAGAAACCCTCCAGCATCCAAGGGATGTACAACCAAATGTTACCAAAATTTCAGGTGTGTGACTGGCCAGAAAATGCTGGTTGCACTGCTGGCCAAAATCCAACCACTGAAGCGCCAGCAACTGAAGAAGTGACTGAGCCTCATGAAGAACCAACAACTGTGGCTGAGGAAATCACCACTGTTGCTGGGGAAGAAGAACAGACCACTGTGGGTGAAGAAGAAGAAGTGACCACTGAGGCTGGAGAAGAGACCACTGTGGCTGAAGAAGAGACCACTGTGGCTGGAGAAGAGACCACTGTGGCTGGAGAAGAGACCACTGTGGCTGATGAGGAGCATACTACCCAGGCTGAAGAAGCAACCACCACTGAGGCTGCTGTGAGTGAGGAAGAAACTGAGAAACCAGTTGAGGAAGAGAACAAATGCCCAGCAACCGGCACCGCCATCTTGCCAAATCCTGAGGACTGTGCCAGTTTCTTTGTCTGCGACAATGGTGAGCCCTTCCTGGTGACCTGCCCAGCAGGCAAGGCCTTTAGCACTCGCTATTCATCTTGTGTGGAGGCTGCCCAGGATGGCTGCACTCCAGCTACTGAATCCCCTGAGGTAAGATAGTTAATTTCCTTCATTTTATTCGTTATCAATGAACTACTTGCTCAGAATGCAAAGGAGGATATTCTTGTCAAAGGTTTTAACGCTGTCTGTAAATTCAGAAATTGCTATGCTCACCAAATGTCAGAGCACTTAACAAGAACATTTTTCAACCAGCTGTAACTACAGTATATCTATAGATGGAAGAAATTGACACATGTGAACCAAAACATATTTTGCAGAACTGTAATTTCACAGGAGCTTTTTACACTGTTAACATTTTATGAGTAAAATCTCAGTGTGTTCATGCATCCATTTTAAAGCAATAAAAGTGTTTTAATGTCAGATGGACACGGAGTCCAGAAGTGTGAAAATCAGAATTGAATGTCTGTCACATTAGAACAACTTGAAAGCTCCTTTGATGATCACTCTTCAAAAATCACATTGATCGACTGATGACCTGAGAGAATTATTGTCTGAGTGATGTAGAAAATTTTTATGACATGTTGTCATCTACCCATTTGATAGCTGACTGGTCTGTCATTGCTTTCTATGGTTGAAATCTTTCAAATTCTTGAAGAATAGTTTTGGACCTAATCATGAATAGTGAAGAGCGCTTTCAAGATAGAAAGGAAATCTGGCATTATAGATCACAACTGAGGCTGAAACTGAGGAACCAACTACAACCACTGCTCCAGAGACTGAGGCTCCCACCACAGTTACTACCCAAAAGCCAACAACTCAAAAGCCAACCACCCAAAAGCCCACTACTCAGAAGCCAACTACCCAGAAACCCACTACTCAGAAGCCAACCACCCAAAAGCCAACAACGCAAACGCCCACTACTCAGAAGCCAACCACCCAAAAGCCAACCACAGTTGGTAAGCAGGGCTGTGAGAAGGTGACCTGTCCAGGCCAGAATGACCAGTTTGCTCTGCATTTGCCCAACCCTGATGATTGTGGCTCGTTTTGCAAATGTGATTGGGGGACTGCACATCATTTTGATTGCCCAGGTGGTCTGCATTTCAATGCAGCCCTTCAGGTCTGCGATTGGCCTGCCAGTGCTGGGTGTCAAGTTGCTTCCAGAGGTATATTTAAATGCAATCAAATTCCCTGATTTTGCATGCATATCTCATGATACATCTATTTATTGACAGATGCATGATGGGTTTATTGGTTTGCACAATCACAGACGGGTATATTCAACAAGGAAGAACATCACTTTTCAAAATTTTCTTGTTTCATGTTTTAGGACTTTTGCTGCTGGAAATGAAGTTGGAATAATTTTATGCCCTTATTTTTTATTGGTTTCCTGGTTCTCCGACGCTTGAAATTCTTCTATTCAGCACCATGAAAGTGCCAGATCCGTACATACAGAAAGCTAGAATGACTTGAATTATAAATCCCGACTCTGTTCTTTTGCAAATTTTTTGAGTTCTTTGAGAATCTGTGCCCTTCTCCTGAAGAAACAGAATGCTAGAAAGAATTGTCCTCTATTTTGAAGACCCAACAGTTATGAATGGAAAATTCTGCAGTATTTGTAAGGAATTATTTCTCGCAAGCCACATGTACTTTCGGTTCATTGTATTTTTCGACACAAACAGCCCTTTATAGGGAAAGTCAGGTTCAATGAACAAGAAATACTATGCAGTATAATAAAGAGAGGTGTGCCCAATTTACGGCCCGCGGAGCCATCATGGAAAATCGCCACCCAAAAATTAAAACCACCAAAAGTGAAAATTTCAAGTTTTTTGAGACATCCTCAGTCAGCAACTTTGATGAGGAGTATTAAAAAGGCTTCATACATCTTCTAATGTTATAAGATATATTCAAAAATGGTCTTCTTCATTTCAACGGTTACATGAATAATGACAGTTCTTGAATTATCTTTTGAAGAAACACCATACAAAATATACGTTACCCATTCAAAACACAATTTCTGTTTAGAATGCATTAAACCCATGAATCTTGATACAACTAAATTTTCTTCATTACAAATTTTTCATCAGGTCCCTGGGAGTTGGTTGTAACTAGATTTTAATGTAAAATCCTTCTTGTAAGAAATTGGTGAATTCGATTTGCAGATCCACCAATAAATATATTATCCTCTTCAAATAAAAGTTGATCCGTTCAAATGTGACAAAAATATTGTATTTCAATCAAGACCAAAAAACTTGGTAATTGATTGTTCTACGACTTATTTTTGGCTAATTTGTGTCCTTATTAGATTCTGAAACCCACGAAAATGAGCCATTTTTGGCCATTGGATAATTTTTCCTTCGGGACCAATTGCAAATTTTCGTCATGGAGGATATTTTTGGAGGCTATCTGTTTCTCGTCATCAAAACACACACGGCGATCAAATTTTCCCAGTGGTTTTTCCATGGACGAAGTAAAGATAAATTGGAAATCAAATACAATAATAACGAGGGGAACAGCGGTTTTCGAATTTATTACTTCCCTAAACATTCGGAAGAAAACGTCGCCTCCGTTCATTAAATAAATTAACACCCCCAAAAACCGAGAAAGTTTTTTTTTTGTTGCATGGAAACAAATAGGACTTTTTCTGTGATGTGCATGTGACTTTTTTCACTTTGATTGAAAATCGTTCTATCCGTGCTCAAATTTTCGTGGGAAGCTTCAATTTCCAAACAGTATATAAGATTCTAATGGTCACTCCTTTTGGGAACACTATCAATCGAGGATGCCACGCCTGTCTTCGCATTACTCTGGAGAGAATTGAAGAGCACATCGGAAAATTCAATGTGACAAAAGCGTCGAATTTGTAAATATGTCATTGATCACATATATACCTTTTTTCATTTTTTTCCTCGCAGTTCCCTGGAATCCATCAAGATCTTCATCAACGTCAGCTTCTAAAAGCTGGAAAAAATTTACAAAATGATGGCCAATCACAATCTGGTGTACGTCTTCCTGGCCATGGCCAATGGTCTTCTCATGATTGTGAGTGATTTCTATTTCCCTTTCTTTGCAGTTATTTTAGCTTCCACATCGAACCTATAATTTTTTAACAATGAGCTATTCACAGTATATCGGACGTTTGTTGGTTATAGGATATACTCGAGCAGAATTTGATGAAAGAAGTGGGGGATTTATTACTCGGTCCGGTTTGAAATTAGAAGTGAAGTATTCAAAATGCGAATTTTTTTTTTCAGTTTTCAATTAGGAAATTCGTCATATACGTGAAACCCATACAAATAAATGTTTTTTAAGGATAAAAACTGAAAAAAGGAAAAAAACATGCATGAAAAGGATTAAAACTGATTTAGTCGTCTGAAATTAACTCATATTTTTCAGCTCGTGAGTAAATTTGATCGATTTAAACTCTGAATTCAATCCTGTCCGAAATTATAACAAGCTATCAGAAGTGAAGTGGACTGAATAAAAAGGAAGCGAGAAGAAGAAAATGTTTTGAATGAGACGAAATATTTATTGTAATAAAGAAACATATTTATTCCTATACACTTTTGGATGGCCAATTACAGATTTATGAACGAGCCGAACGTGAAGTATACCTTTGGGAAAAAGTAAAAAGTTCGCAAAAAATAATATAAAAAAGGAGGAAAACTGGTTTCCTTCACTTGATGCTTGGAATAGAACAATCGATTATAATATTCCAAGTACTGTTCTGTACTTGTTTCGCTTATTCCAGGGGTTTTTTACTCGTTTTTATTGATGAATCTCTGCATAAAACAGTGGACGAACTCTTTTTATTGTACTGTATGAGATAATCGACAGACATTTTCACGACGGAAGCAATTCGTTTCCCTTTGTTTTTCGAGCAATTTCTTAAATTATTTCAATTTAAACTTTCAACTTTTCAAATGTTGTGTATCAAATTTATTCTCATTGAACCTCAGGATACACGGGGAAATAATGTATAGTATATTCATCTAAGACTATATTCGCGGACAAACGGCCGGTTCTGACGTTTTGTTCAGGGATTAAGCAATTATTATTTTTTTTTACCCAGAGGAACCCTGGTTTTGTTGAAGCTGGAGAACTGGCTGGGATGAACAACGCAGGTCAAATTTCAGATGATAATGTGGGACTCCTCAGCAAACTCCTTCATGATGTACCCATTGGTGGATTTTCGAAAATCCTCGTTCCGCCAAAAAATTCAGACATCCAACGCCACCAGACCAAAATTCTCAAAGGTAATTACCAAACTGAATAACTTATAGGTCACAGTTATTTTTTTACATAATTCGAATTTGCAGCAAGGCAATTCAAAAATATTGAGAAGAATAAGGAGAGAATTCAACGCTCATTGTGCGGAAATTTTTCTTTTGACACCAGCGCAGAGTCAAATTCCCTGAGAAGGGACAAATGGATTGAGTATTCCAAAAATTGGCGCGTCTCGGTACGCGCCCAGGGCTGTAAATTAATCCCCTTCTAAACAGTACTTGCAAGGTGTACGGCTTGCTCCAATTTATTTCTCTTCTCAAATAAAACCGTACACTCATCAATTGAATGAATTTGCAATCCCTTCCTCCTGCATATACTTTAATATTTTCTGCAATTGGTAATACTGTACTGAAACTGTGGCCCAACAGGCCCGGAATTCATTCAAGATATACAATCTAAAAGGAATTTTTATGTAGAAGATTCTACATGAAAAAAATACAGTATAATATACTTCTTCCCAATTTATGCCTTGGTTCAAAAGTGCTCATTGGGCACAAAAAATACCTCACCTTATTTGCTGCAGAAGGCTTAAATCCAATACAGTTAAACCTCTCCAGGTCGAATTTTAAGTTACCAGCAAACAATTCAACTTAGAGAGGTTTTGATTGTGGGATGAGGTTTTGAGTTAAAGAAACAAGCATTTTTATTGCAAGGAACTGTGGTGAATTGGAAATGAGGGTATTTTGGCCCTTAACTTGCTTCTCAACAAGTTTCCAGCATGCTGAGCTTGGAGGCAAGGCTTAATTTGCTCAGGAATTAGCCTTTCACTTCCTTTCAAGATGTATGAAATCACTTGTTTTCTGTATGTTCTTTTTCATGTTTCAAGAAAATATAAACCCAGAAGCATCAATAAATCTCATTTATGGAGGTTTCAGAGAAAAAGACTTTGAGTTAGGGAGGTTTTCAATGGATTGATCCTAAGGGGATGCAGAATGGCACTTGAAAAAAATTTACTCAGGAGAGGTATTTGACTTAGGGAGTTTCAACTGTAACAATTATAGATTTGTTGTTACAAGATTCTACTGTGTATGCTGCATTCCAGTTGTGGTCAATATCTACACTCATACTCCCAAATGGAAAGCAGATTGATGTGTCTTATACACCGAGTTTCATAAGGAATAAGCTCACATCACTTCACTTCCATTTCAGGAGCATTGGAACTGGAGCTCTTCCTTGCTTCAAGAAGCCAGACTGCCAGCAAAGCCAAGGCTAAAAGGAAGAAGCCCAAGGTCAAAATGATGCGCACTCCTATGGTTGCGGGTACAGTGAAGAAAGTTCAGAAAAAGGCACGGGCAAAGAGTCGCTCTGGCAAAGCCCTCAATAAAGTGGGTACTTGGGCACGTCAAACCCAGCGGGTTACAGTAAGCATCAGGCCCGAAACCTTGACAAGGTTAGGCAGCGGTGAAAGGATTCGGAGTGTAATATGTCCTAGTCAAGTAGCATCCCCAGGAGACAGTGAGGGAGACAGTGAGGACAGCTCAGGAGACAGCTCAGGAGCTTCATCAGGCATTTCATCAAATTCAGGCGCATCATCATCATCATTATTATCATCATCATCATCATTATTATTATCATCATCATCATCATCATCAGAAGATGTTCCACCATCAGTAGCATCATCATCATCATCATCATCATCATCATCATCATCATCATCATCATCATCATCATCATCATCATCATTATAATCATCATCATCATCATCATAGCATCATCATCACCATCATCATCATCATCATCATCATCATCATCATCATCATCATCATCATCATCATCATCATCGTCATCATCATCATCATCATCATCATCATCATCATCATTATGATCATCATCATCATCATCATCAGAAGAAGATGTTCCACCATGAGTAGCATCATCAGGAGATGATCCACCACCAGTAGCATCATCAGGAGATAATCCACCACCAGTAGCATAATCAGAAGATGATCCACCATCAGTAGCATCATCATCATCAATGTCATCATCTGAGGAGTAATACAATCAGAGGAGTAGTACCACAAGTAGAAGTACCATAAGCACCAGCAGCAGGAGGGCTACAACCACAATTACCAGCACCAGTTGGAGAACAACTTGCAGCAGTACAATGAGAAGAAGCGTAGTACAATAGCATCATGATTGTTGTAAATTGAGTCCCTGAAATACATCATCAGAATGAGTAAACCCAACCACAAACTTGCAAGTAATTTGTTCACCAAGTTATTGTGGAGGAACCACTGGTTTTCATTTGAAGGAAACCCAGCACCTTTTTCATCAAACAGCAATACTGCATATATAAAAGGCAAAAACCAACAAGCTGTACAACCCCCTGATTTTGAAAATATGCTGATCAACACTGTGACACCAAAGCCGAAAACCATGAAACTGAAAATAAAAACCTCTATCAATCATGATTTCATGATCGAACCCGACAGCAAAGTCGTGATTATTCTGGATAGGAAATACAGCATTTCCAGTGCAATTGAAAACAGCAGCAATAGTAAGCAGAAATCCAAAAGTGCTGTTTTGTACCCTCACATATGCTCCTTTTGCCATTACAGTATAGGATGTTATTTATGGTAATGCAGAGCTAGTTATCCTCAAAATGTGTATTACATTTTTTACAAAGGTTAAACTTACTCACCAAAAACCAACGCAAATTTCTCCCACTCATTTTCAGCAAGTGAGGTTTGTTTTCATGAAGAAATTTGAAATTTTGAGAACACCTGGATTCATATTTTGGGGATAGATACCACACTGTACATGAGAACCATGAATACTGTTGTCCGTAGACCAAGGTAAGTAAAAATATCCGGTTAAAAAATATATTCAATATATTCGCAAGTCACAAATATTTCAGTTGTACAAACACACAAAAATATACAAGATACGTAGATGTAAAGAGAGTCTTGCTAAACCGATTTGCAAGTCTCTCTGAGAAA